AGTTAAGCCACTCCTGAATTCCTGACCCACAGAAACTATGACATGATAAATATTTATTGTTTTAAATTGCCAAGTTTTAGGGTAATTTATTGTGTAACAATGGGTAACAAATACACACACAAATCTAGAATTTTCACCTACCTTGTAGTATTGTAAAATTCTTGATGAGCTGACCATGCTTGGAGTCCACCAGCTTCATTTCTTCCATAATCACTGATAAATTGGCCACTTCAGTGTCTAACCTTGACCTCATTACATCTTGTTGCATCCTGAGAGAAACAGAATCCAAACGGATATTGGCCAGTGTATTATTCAAGGAGGTCAGGTCATCCGTGTGTTTGGTTAGAGTATCCGTGCAAGTGGTCCTGACTTCATTCAGATTGCTGGTCAGCGTCCGCAGGTGGTGGGCTGTGTAGCTGATATTGCTAATGATGTTCACAATATCCGTCTCAAAGAGTTGGAAGCGTTCCTCCAGTTGGCTAAACTTGGTGGCTGTTCTATTCTCTGCATCCTTGTGTAAGTCCTGAAGGTCTTTCAGGTTCTGCTCGTTGGCTTGTGAGATAGTAGTGATGTTGTCCATCTGACCTGTGAATGAGCTGAGCTGGCTGTTCATATCCTCAAGTGTGTCGTTGTTGGCTTTGGCCAAGGCAGAGTTGTTGGCAGCCAGTGTCTGCAAGCTCTGTACTTTCTCCTTCAGCCAATCGGTGTCCTTCTTGGCTTGAAGGAAAACCTGCTGCAGATTTTGGAAGTCATTCTTGATTCGCTGGATAGCCTGGCTTGTGTCATCCACAGACTGCTGCAGATTTGTGATGAGGTTCCTCTGCTGCACCTGGGTCATGTTCAGGTTGTTGAGGTTCATAATGACCACGTTATGAGAATACATTTGGTTCTGCAGATTGCCCTGGAGCATGCTGGTATCTTGTTGTAGATTTGTGACATAGCCGTTATATGCCTGGAGGGTTTTGTTGACAGTGGTGATGAGGAAAGAGTTATTCTCCAAAGTTTCTTTCAGTTGACTCTGTCTGTCCACCAGTGCATCCCCAGTTGCCTGTAACTTCTCCAGCATATCTTTGTTCTTGCTGGTTTTTTCTGTAATCTCACGAAGTTGTTGACGAAGATCTAGAATGCCTGATCTGAAGGTAGAAAGTTCTGAGTTGGTGCTTATAGCCTTCTTCCCAGTTTGGTCCCCTGGAATAAGAAATGTTTGTTACTTAGGTCAGTGTTATGCAGAAGTGTTCAGGCAAGGTCAAAGATACCAGCACTTAACTGGTATGCACTGCATCTCAGACATAAAATTTGTGGTATATGTGGACTGCTCTGCGTTCGCAAAATCCACATATATATTAAAACTGGGCCCTGGGATATCAGAAAGGGTGCTCAGGACTAGGACTGACAAACTTGGGCAAACACTTTTCTCAGAGGGAAGCAGAATTTACTGGATTCTAGGGCACTGAGCAGAGTGTCAAAAGGAAATAACCTTTCAAATTCACCAAAATTCCTTTTTCAAAAATGAAAACAAAAATCAAGGAATAAAATAGGCTTGAATCTTTTATTTTTATAAATTAATTTCTACAATTCTATGCAGTTTAAAATATTTAAAATAGGAATTTACTGAGCATTTATAAAAGAGTTTTTAATAAAGGGTACTTGTGGCTCTTTTCAGTCAAGATTGATCTTCAGATTTTATTTGGCACATAATAGCTTTTTGGGCAGGATTCAACTCCAAGATTGGTCCTTAACTTTAAAATTTTAAAAGTCTTTGGATTAAATCATGAGGAATGACTCAACACACAACACAAAAATTAAGTGTCCTTCAGGGTGAATTGGAGTTTATAGCTCCATCATTCTAAAATGCTGTGGTCATTTATACAAAGTAGAGTTAGGCGACTCCACTTAATGGTGCACTCTTGTTGCAGATTACCTAATTTTTTCAGGTCACTTTCCACTGCTGTGAGCTTGTCATCATAGGTTTGGCGAGATGTTTCCATGCCACCTGTGACATTGTCCATTTTCTCTACAACTAAGATTTGGAAAATGATGCATTAGTATAAATTATTGCTCATATTTTATTTTTTAGTTTCAAGCCAAGAGATCTATTCACTACATAATAAAGGAAACAGGTTGAAACAAAAAGTATAATTAAAATTAAATGCTGGGGAAAAGCCATTCTTTTAGAAATACCAATAATTTACTTGTCACAAAACCCAGTAAAAGTTGTATGTTCTTAACTGTTCTTATAATTCTGTAATAATTCAAATGTTTCAGAAATTCTTTGGAACTAATTAAAAATTTGTATGTACTACAGAAGTCCTCAATCTGTATTATTTCCTATATTAGTTTCCACAGATAGAAACAGAATACTGTAATCATTTATAAAATTTTGCCACCCATCAGGCTCCCAAACATTCCTGGCAGGTGGGCCTCACTTACCTAGAAGGGGATTCCATTGGCAAAGAACACCTGGCTCAAGTCTATACACAACGTCATGGTAGAAGGGGCATGAAGCCAAGAGTGTTTGCCTCTTTCTGTTTTTCTTTAGTGACAACTGAATCTGTAGTTTATCAATTCCAAAGCTGATGTCTAAGTGGTGTTTCCAAACAATGATTTATCAAGTTTTTTTTGTTTTTGTTCTTGTTTTTTAAACATTTTCTTGATTGTATATGACAGGGAAAGTTAGTGGTGCAGTGTCAAATAAAAGCTTCAATTCTT